AAAAAAAAAAAAAAAAAGAAATAAAGACGAAGGACGGTGGGGGTGGGGGGGTGTCACCGAAGAGTCCCAACAAATTGGCAGCCCTGTCCTTTACTGAGGGTGAGGGGGCACGGGGGGACCCGGCAGGCCCTGACCTCCCACTCCCCCCAGGCCGCCTGGTGGACGCGCTGAAGAACTATGAGATCATCTTCTACCTGGCTGGCTCAGAGGTGGCCCTGTCCGGGGTCTTCATGGCTGCCGCCACCTACTGCTGTCTGCGCAAGCAACCTCGCTCTCCGGGGGCCACAGCTGGCGCAGCCACTGAGGGTGCCGCCAGTGACACAGAGGACACTGAGGCTGAGGGGGACTCTGAGCCACTGCCCGCTGGCACCGAAGAACCAGGCGGTCTGCAGGCCCTGGAGATGCGGAGCCCCCGGGCTGGGTCTGTGGGAGCCGAGGTGGAGGCAGAAGCAGGCCCAGGCCAGGAGTCTGTGTAGCGCATTGGGCGAGGCAGGCGGGGGGCTCCGGAACGCGGGTTCCTCTTCCCAAAGGCCTTGTCACAGCGGGAAGGAGGGCCCGGGGGTCGTCCCCTGGGGCAACCCCAGGCTGCAGTTATTCCCTGGGCGTCTGGCAAATATCCTTCCCATCTACCAGGCCCTGTCCCCTTGCTGGTCAAATAGCTGTGGACCGACAGGAAATCAAGACCATAAAACTCAACTGAAAGACGAGTTCTGCTCCTGCGCCTCTGCCCAGGGCTCTGGCTGGGCCCCAAGCTGGTGGGGGAGGTCTGAGGGTTCTCCCTGGGCCCCCCGAGTTGGGCGAGTGTCAGTGACGGATGACAGGCGGGGTGGGGGTCTCAGGGCTGGCAGCTGAGCTGAGCACAGCCTCCTGGCTGCCACCGGCATCTCCCCTGGAGGTGAGGGGGTTGGCAGCACCTTCCGGTGAGCCGCTGTGACAAAGCCCAAGTCCCAGGGCCAGGGTGGGCGGGGACGCCTGTGCAGTGGCCCAGAGGTGGTAGTGAATCTGGGTACTCACCAGGCCTGGGCCTGCTGATGTCGCCCAGTGCAGACGTCCCTCACCATCCCAAGGGGCGCCTTTCCCTCTAGAGGATGAACCTGGGGCCCCATGGCCTTGCTCTGGACACTGCTCCTGAGCGTGGCACTCTGGGCAGCCTGGTCATCTGCTGACTCTGGCATCTGCACCGCCCCCCACAGACTCCCAGTGCCCCCAATACCACCAAGCCGGGGGTGGAACCCAGGGTCTCCACGGAGCCGCACCCCACCCTGTGACCCAGGCTCAAGGACCTCCCGGTCTCTCTCGGCTCCTTTCAGTCAGGGCCTCCCAGCACCCACCCCAGCGAGCCCTCCACAGGGCCCCAGTTGGGCCTCACTGCCCCAGCAGGGCCACAGCAGAGGAGCTGCCGGCCAGAGGTCTGTTGTCCCCCGCGCGCCCACAGCAGTGAGTGCCTTTCTCCTGACACTTTCGGAGGCTCCATCTGGGCCCAGCAGTTTTCGCCCCTTTGAACACTAACTCATGTAATCCTCCTAACAGCCTGACTAGGTAGATGCCATGGCTCCAGAGAGAGGGACACCGAGGCACAGGGACTGCTCCCAGGCTGTGGGTTCTGGGCTGTCCGCTCCAAGAGGGTGTGGCCGGACAGCTCTGCAGGGACCGAGAGGGCTCCTGGTGCCGGCTCAGGACCTGTACCCAGTACGCTGCTTCCTTCCACTCTAGACTGCCTGCCTCACACATCTGTCCCGTCCCATGCTCAGGCTGGCCATACCCACTGTCCCAACAGGGACACTTCAGAGGGCCACTGCTACTGGTCATACTGGGCCCCCAGGTGTGGGCTGCAGCTGGCTGGGCAGAGCCCGTTCTGCCACTGTGCAGAGACAGAGCGCTAGGGTGGCCCCGCACAGGCCTGGGTGCACCAGGGATACCTGAGCTTTACAGTGTCTCCCTGCCCTGGGTCCAGGCAGCCCTGACCCTACGTCCTGCCCTTCCCCAGATGAAGGGTCAAGGGTGAGGGAGGGCACAGGGCTCCGGGAGGCAGGGTCTGGGACCGGCAGGTGGGAATTCAGGTCCCACCCTTTCCCCTAGATAGTGAGCCCTTGAGCAAGACGCTTCCCTGAGCCTCACGTCCCGCACTGGTGGGACACAGAGCTGGCGTGCAGGGCACCGTGAGGAAAGAGCCTCATAAAAGCACAGGGACTTGCCAGGGCCCCTGGAGACGCGGCAGGAGGGTCTGAGCCACTGTGGAGTCCGGCGGCTCGCCTGGGTTTGTTTATTCAGTACAGGCCCTGAGCCCAGCCCTTCTCCAGAAGTGGCAGAGCTGAGGGAACAAAATAAATAAAGGCTGCCGAGGTGCGTGGGGCCGCCGCGCAGTGTGAGATGCAGGCCTCCACCTCGCATCCACCTGGCCCTTGCCCGGGCAGGCGAGGGGCGCACAGAGGCGCCCGCAGGGCCGGCCCTGGACTTCTGCCCCTTCAGCTGTCTTTCTTCCTGCCTCTCCCTCTAGACGGGTCCGGAGGCCACGCTCTCCCTGGGCTGGGGAGGCGGAAGGAAAGGGGTGGTGCTGTCCAGCAGGAGCCCAGGCCCGCCGTGTGCAGGACGGAGGAGCGGGAGGCCCGCAGGCCTTTCTGAGCCCGACCCCCCAGATCTGGCCTGGGGGCGGGGCGCTCAGGAGTCACACCAGCTTCCACCCTTGTCCAGGGGCCCGGCGGCCCCGCGCGGGTCTCGGGCAGGTTCTTTGGCTGCCGGGTCCTCCTCCTCCTCCTCCCCGTCGGTGAACTCGCCCTGGCTGGGGCCGTAGGCCAGTGTGGTGTGGGCCAGGTCCACCTCGATGGGGAACACATCGGCGTCGCGCAGCACCGCGTAGCAGTCGTTGTAGTACTTGGACATGGTGGACACGAAGCGCTGCAGCTGGAACACGATGTCCTGGACTGGGGCAGAGGGGTGGGCGACAGGCCTAGTGGCTGCGGCTGCCTGCCACAGGGGCCTCCCTCCCTCCCACGTGGCTCCTCCCACAGAACCCATGGGGGCACGGAACAGAGGCCCACGGTTGGGTCAGGGCCCGGCCCAGGACCCTCACGGAAGGGCATGACCTCTTTGGACCTGTTCCCGAGGCTCGGAAGGGCGCCGGTGCCCAGCGCTCCGCCTACCGTGCTTCTGGTCCAGCAGCTCCATCTTCTCCAGCACGTCCTTGCGCATCTGCGAGAAGCGCGCGCGCGCCTCCTGGCGGCAGCGCAGGATCAGGCGGTACTCGTAGTTGCCGGTGCTCACGCGGTACAGCGGCTCGCCCAGGGCCTGCGGTGGGGCGGGGACACATCAGGGACCAGGAATCGGGCTGGAAGCGGGGTCTGCTTGGGGTCAGGCGGGGTGGGTGGGGAGGCTAAAGGGCCACCCGCGGCTCAAGCCCCACCTCCTGCACCTTTCAGAGCCACCGTGGTCCCTTGATGCTCAGCTGCCAGCAACTGCTGGGAGCACTGGCGCTAGCTTGGGAGGGAGAAAAACTAAAGGATAACCCCCAACTCTGTCACACTGAATAAATGAACTCTGCTCAAAAGAAGGACCCGGTTAGCAAAAATATGACAGATTTTAAAAATCAATGCGCTAGGAATAAAGCTGGCTAGTTTTCCCTCACAGGAGTCACAACTGGGGCGACCCGCCTAGGAGTGGAACTGGGGGGTAGGGTGCTCCAAGTGTTGCCAAGGAGAATCCAGGCCACGCCCCCCAGGCCTCTCCTGGGTTGGCCTGCCCCCCCCATGCCCCTGGACACCCGGGGCACTCGAGGGCTCCAGGAAGCAGGGGAGGGGAGCTTTCCCGACGCCCCAGCACTCACAATGCAGCTGTACTCCTCGTCATCCATCTCCTTCACCTTCAGGCAGTAGGACTGGTGGGACAGGGAGGCCGCAGTCAGAGCCCAAGCTGACGTCCCCACGCCTCACGCCACACTGTACCCGGGCCGACACCAGCAGCCACGCCAGGCCCCCCCGCCCTCGAGTCTCCAGCCAGGGCCCTGTCCACATCCCAGGTCAGGCAGGACAGGGGCCCTGGGCCCCCTGCCCTCCTCACAGTGGTGGCTCATGCAGGACAAGACTGCCCGGCCTGCAGCCACCTGCAGCCCTCACCAGGTACTCGAACTTCACGTCCAGGTACTTCTTGATGGTGAGCCGCGTGTCGGGGATGGCTTTGTTGAGGTACGTGTTCAGGTCTGTCAGCATCTGGGGGGTGAGGCAGGGTGGCCATGTGACAAGGCGCAGCCCTAATGCGTCATTCCCTCCAGTGGACTCAGACTACCAGGGCCAATGGCCTTTTCCATTTCAAGGTCCAAAGCTTGGTCCAGGCCATGGGCGAGCTGTGACTTAGTGGCAGAACAGGGCTGAAAGCGGCCTCAAGGTCAATACCGAGCCTCGAAGGGACGCCGGGGCTTATAGGTGATCAGTCATGTAGGTGACCAAGCCAGGACTCAACTCAGGACCCTCTGGGTGCCATGCTGCCCCGCCCCCGCCGTCACAAGCTGACACACACATGCACACCAGGACCTACTGGCTTGATGGTTTTCAGCAGCCGGATGCCAAACTTCTCAATGCTGCGGTGCGCATCAGCAAACTTCACAAAGGCCTCACTCGCCGCCGGCTGGGGCTCCCGCACCCCAATCACAGAGAACACGTCCCCAAAGGCTGCAGGAGAAGTTTGCCCTGAAGGCTGCCCCTACTTGACCCCCTAATGGAGAAGCCAGGGGTTTGCTGGGGAGAAACAGGACGGGGGCCTTGACAGCCAGAAGGCAAGCTCTGTATGGGGTCTCACACCCCTGGGGAGCTGGCCTGATTCCCCCGAGTGCCCAGACCATGGCAGGAGGCAGGTGGTGCTGTCTGGAGGGCAGACCCCGGTATGGGCATCGACACCAGCGCCACCCCGTGAGCTCTGTGTCCGCTTCCTGTCTCTGCTTCCTTCATCCACCTGGGAAGAGGCTAACTGGCCGTCCTGCCCAGCACGGCTTCTGTCGGAAATGAGACCACCCACGAGGAGGGGCCTCATACACGGCGAGTGGCCCTGAGAGGAGGGGGGTTAGGGCCCTTGCAGGCCAGCTGGTCCAGATGCTCACTGGCCTGTCACCACTACGTCCTGCCACCTAGGGCCATGCCCTGCGTGCTGGCCGGACGTCAGAGCTGTGGGTGGGAGGGGGCCCTAGGGCAGACCCTGGCCACACTGTACCGGGGGTACTGAGCCCAGAGAGGGGCAGGGATTTGCCCAGGGCCGAACAGCAGGTTTAGGGACGCCATTACCCCGGTGGGTCTGTGACAGTTCATAAAAGGCCCGGAGGAGGTTCTTGGTGTGTTCTGTCATCCCTGTGGGAGAGATCCAAGTGACAGAGGGTGGGGGTACATGTCAAGGACTACATCAGTGCAGGGCCCAGCCCCCGCCCAGCCGAAGTCCTCCCTGGGCGTTGGGTCCACTGATCCTTCTGTTCCTTCCCACAGCCCTACCAGGGCCCAGGAGCGAGGGCTCAGACCACGTCCACCTCGAGGACGCCGTCGGACGGGGAGCTGGGACGCTGTGGTGTGGGCAGAGGTCTCCAGGGGCTTCCTCTCTGGGACAGTGGGGTTCACTGGTCCTCAACTTTCTAGGCTGAGCTCTCGGCCCACACTGGCAGCCTCTTTGCAGCGGGGCTCCCAGGGCAAGCCCACCTGTACTTCCAGGCTGAGGGCCCCTCACCTTTGTACAGCTCGGCTGTTCGCTCCAGCTCCTCCAGCCTCTTCACCAGCCCATCTGTGGGGACCAAGAGCAGGTGAGACCTCGGGCTCAGGGAGCCGGGCAGGGTGGGGCCTGGGAAGAGGCCCGGGGAAGGGTGGTCCCTGGAGGAGAGGGCTCAGGCAGGGGTGTGGCAGCTGAGGGTCGGCTGGGCTGGGGATGTCTGTCAACAGCCCGGCACACCCAGTTGTTCTGCAGATGTGCCCCTGTCCCCCACAACCGGGGGCAAATCTGGGGGCGGAGGGCGATGCCAACACAGGGCCTTCCAGAGCCACATACCCAAGGGCTGGGCCCTCCCCAGGCCAAAGCTGGGGTGCTCCCCGCGGGCCGCAGGAGGAAGGCCCCTGGCCGGCAGCCAAGGCTCCCTGCACTTCTCACACAGCCCGCTGGCGCCCCGGAGGACGCAGGCAGAGGAGACACGCACGGGGACCTGGCGAGCCCGTGCGCGCGGTGGCTCGGCAGTGGGCAGGACGTGGGGAGGGCTTGGAGGAAGGGCTGGCATCAGGGCCGGATGTGACCACAGCCCTTGGCTTCACCTGCTGAGCACTGAGGGTGCCAGCCACAGCATCAGGCCTGGGGAGTGACCGTGGAGGACAGACCGTCCTGCCCATGAGCTCCAGGTCCTGCAGGGTGCCAGGCAGTGACCAGAGCACGGGGGCAGTGGGGCTGCCTCACCCCAGGGCCTGGCCGCCAGGACACAGGTGTTGGGGGGTGGGACCAGCAAAGGCCTTGCATTGGGAGGAGATGCCTGGGCTCTTCCTTGGGCTCCAGGTGGGGAGGATGAGGAGGACAGGGGTGTGTTGATGGCTTCTTTACCAAGTCACACCCTGGGGAGGGCCTGGTCTTTTAGCAGCAGCAGCCACTTCCTGGGTCCCTGTACCCATGAGCTGGGGTAGCTCCTTGGACAGCTTTAGGTCTTTCCTCAGTCTGTGCTTCTGGGGCACGGACTATGTCCCTTGTTTGTTTAGTTGGAATTTTTTTGAGACAAGGTATCCCTGTGTAGTTCAGGCTGGCCTTGAACTTAGCTGTAGTGCAGGCTCCATGGCCACCCCCTGCCAACTCGAGATCCTCCTGCCTCAGCCTACCCAAGTGCTGGGATTATAAGCATGCACCACCACACCTAGCTTCCTTCCCGTTTTATAGAGAACACTGAGGGTAGGACAGGCAAAGCACCTTGTCCAAAGCCATCCTGCCAGGGACTGTCTGAGACGGTGCTCTCACTCCCCAGTCTCCTGTGTTGACTTGGGTTAAGGTCTCTGGAGCAGAAGAGCATCTCTGTGTGGCGTGGGCTGAGCCCAGGCCCTTCTCGGACAGGGAAGTAGACCGCAGAGGGGACACGGGGTTGGACAGGGCACTTGGGAGGGCTTCTGGAGGCCACCACCAGCAGTGGAGCAGAGTGGAGCTGAGGGAGCATGCGGCCACTGGCAGGAAAGGAGCCACGTAAGTGCCGCGCTGTTGTTTTTAGCTGGGTCATGGGACATCATGACAGCTTCCATTTTAGAAACCCTATTTACGGCTGGGGAAATTGCAAGGTTTGGGGGGAAAAAACACAACAACCAGTTCTAATTTCATCCCAAGGCACGGTAACTACAGTAACAGGATTCAAGACACCAAGCGGCCAAAAATAGCAGCCGCCACTTTTGTACCCTATTTGGAACCAGCTCAGGCCCCGCCCCCACGTCCCCAGCCAATGAAGCCCCACGCGCGCAGCTGAGCCCAGGTTTAGCTAGGTATTTATATCTCCCCACACGCGCGAAGCAGAGCAGCGCTATTTATACGCGGGCTGGTGGGGCAGGCACAGGAGCGTGTGTCGCACTGGCCTCCCCAGGGAGAGAACGTGCACGCGCGTGTGCTGAGCGTGTGTGTAAATGCACCCGCGCACGTGGCTCCTTCCCCAGCCTGGCGGCCACCGCCAGAACCCCAGGCAGGAAGGCTTAGGCGGGGCAGCAGCGCCACCTCCTGGACAAGGGCGGCCAAGGCGGGCAGCGGCGGAGGCTGCAGGGCGCGCTCAGGGCCCCGGCCGGAGGGCTGAGAGGAGACCCCGCCCACTGAGTCCGGCCCCCTGACAAGGGCGGGTGCTCGCTGGCAGCTAGAGGCATCCAGGGAGGTGACCTACTGGCTCCCCGGGGAGAGGCGAAGGCGGGGCAGCAGGCCCCGCAGCCGCTCGGTGGGCAGCGCAGCACGTGGCCTGCAGGCCCGGACTCACCATTGCACAGGATAGCCCGGCTCAGGCCCAGGGCGTCAGCCGTGCCCGAGCTCATGTTCTCCACCAGCCGGTGCTTGACCTTCTTCAACACTGTGGCCGGGGAGAAAGGACCTGGTGAGTCTGAGGTGGGCCCCATGGCCACCCGCCGCCCTTCACCCCATCATGACTGGCTGCAAGCAGCCAGCAGGGGGCAGAGCTCAGGGTGGGTGCTGGGAGAGGCTGCCCTACTCCCTCCACAGGGGGGCAGGCTGGGAGGAGTAGGTGTGACATGTTTAGCCCGGGGACTGGACAGGATGGCACCAATCAGGACCGCTGGGAGCAATGCCCAGGCCCAACGCTGTGGACAGGCCAGCAGGGACAGCATTCCCTCCACCTCCCAGCAGGGCCTGGGTGCCCTGTATTGGGGTTGGTGGCTTCCGGCTTCAATCCGTAACCCCAGGGCCTGAGTGAGAGAACCTCAGAGCTACTGTCCTGCTCTCAGGCTTACAGCGAGCACAGAACCAAGGCCCAGCCTCTCTAGCAGGAGGCGGCTCGTCCCAGAGCATGCCAGGGCCCGTGCCCTGTGCCCAAGACCTAGGTTCCAGTGTGGACCTTGTTTCTTCCTGGGAGTAGAAGGCAGACGAGGCAAGGGAGGGCAGGACGTGTAGTAGGCAGCAGGCACAGGTGAGAGCCAGCTGCCTCCTTTCCTGGGCTGGATTAGCCCAGAGCTGGCCTACAAAGCACAGCCCTGGAACACAGCAAGGTCCCGGAGGAGGTGGCCAGGCAGGGACAAGCTGGGGACAGGGTCCTGAGCACAGCCACAGGGAGAACACCCCAGGTCCTCCCAGCCTTTCTGACTGGCTTGGTCAGGAAAAGTCGGAGCCCTCAGCCACAAAACAATCAATGCCACCGTCACAGGAAGGCCTGGGGCTGGCTCTCCTGCTTCGGGCTGGGGTTTGTGGGCCGTGGGGCACTGCTGCTGCCCTCAGCTTACCAATGTCGAGGGACATGCCCTGCTTGGGGTCCGCCTGAAGCTTGTTGTAGTGGATGGTCACCTCCCCCTGCAAGAGCAGCACAGGCAGAGTCATGACAGGCTCCCGATCCCAGGCCCCTGGTGCACCTCTCTGTGCCCGGTGTGGGGACACCGAGGAGGGGCAGGGACAGGCTGTCCAGCGGGGGAGCGCTCTGGTGATGGTTCAGGAGCAAGAGCTGGGGCTCCCCTGAGGAGGCCACCGTGGTCACTCTCGTCCTTGCAGTCGAAAGGCCCCTGACCTGGGGACTGAAGCCATCCAAATATAACACAGGATTTAAGGACTGAGCCCTGAAGGCCATGTACGGTGCGCCAACACGGCCAGAGCCTGGGTGGGATGCGAGCTGCTCCCTCAAGGTGGGACAGGGGCTGCCGGGCAGGAGCGGAACAGCGCTGAGTGGCAGTCAGCCCAGGCTCTGGTCAGCCACGGGACCTCAGGCAGGTCCCCTCCTGCTTGGACACCACTAACACGGGGCGGTAACCCTGTCTGGCACCCACACCTCCGGGCTGGGGAAACCCTGTGCTCAGGTCTGGCTGTGCACCGACATGCGGGGCTCTGGTCTGCAGGGCTGACACGAGGGGCTGACGTGAGGCGGACCCGCAGGGATGTGGAGGGACCTGGTGAATGAGATGGTGGCGGGGGAGGGACTGCCGCAAAAGGCACACACACGACCCAGCTGTGCCCGGATGGAACGGCCTTCACCTGCTCCCACCACCGGGGCCTCTGCCCAGTGGGTCATGTCCAGGACAGTGGTACCCGGATGGTGTGGGGCGGCGTCTGGGGCTCAGTGAACCCTGTTACTTCCTTTAGTGGTCTGGAGCTGAGACCTAGCACAGGGGAGCAGTTACAGGACCGGGACCCTCTCCTTAAAAAGGGATGGGAAACCGGGCATGGTGGCGCACACCTGTAATCCCAGCACTCAGGAGGCTGAGGCAGGAGGATCACTGTGAGTTCGAGACCAGCCTGGGCTACATAGTGAGTTCAAGGCCAGCCTGAACTGCACAGCGAGACCCTGTCTCAAAAAGACCCCTCAGAAAAAGGGATGGGCACTCCAAAGGGGGACAGGGTGTGAGGGGGAAGCCAGGGAAGCGGCTGACTGGGTGGGGGCAGGAAAGTGGTATGGGGAGCTGCAGACAGGTCCCCAGTCCTGGCCCATGGCGTGGGCTGGGGAGGAGTGGCTGGCGTGGCTGGGGCTCGACCCCCACTGACTCAGAGCCCTGCCCCCAAGCCCTGTAACCCATCCTGCACCTGGGTCACAGTACTGATCTCCCTAGAGATCCTAGAAGCTGCAGCTCTAGGAGATGGCGGAAGGGCTGCTCGCTTGCTTCTGCGTGGCTAAGAAGCCGCCTGCCAAGTGGAGGGAAGACCCTGCGGAGAGGCCTTGGAGCAGCGGAATGAGAGGGGAGCAGGGGCGGGTGGCATGGGGCTGAGGGCTGCAGAACAGAAGCTCCACTGGACAGGGGCCCGCCCAGAGCCTGGGTTCCAGGGGACCTGCTGGGATGAGGAAGGGGCCTCTCCCTCTCCCCAGGCCCAGCATGGCTAGCTGATGTTCTCAGCATCCCCAGAGCCAGTGACACCCACCAGGGCCTGTGGCTGAGCCCTGGGCAGGGACATGCTGGCTTGTCCGCCTGCGCTGGCTCCCCTACCTTCACCTCCTGAATCATCTTCGCCACCTCCACCTTAGTCTTCCCTTTGATTGACTTGCCATTGACACCGGTGATCTCGTCACCAGCGGCCACAGTGCCATCCAAGGCAGCAGGAGTGTTGTCGAACACCTGCGGGCGCATACAGAAGCAGGTGGGGGACAGCAGCACTGGGGAGATGCACCTCCCAATCGCTGCCTGGCCCTGTCTTCCTCTCTGGCTGCTGGTGGCACCATCTCGGGGCAAGGGGAAAAGCTACCAGGCAGAAAGGGACAACCCTAGTCTTGGGGAGAGGAAGGACAGGACAGAGACTTGAACTGATGAGGCGTCTACTAGCAAATACACCGATCCACACCCAAGGGGGTGTGCTCCCCCAGTGTCAGTACTTTCTTTCTTTTTTCTCTTTTTTTTTTTTTGGTACCAGGAATTGAATTCAGACCTTGCACTTACAAGGCAGGCGCTTGTGCTGCTGACTATAACCCGGCCCCAGTGTCATTTCTTTAATAGGATTTTCCAAGCTGATTCCAAGCTGAATCAACTCCCACTTCATTTTGGTTCCCAAAGAACAGCTCAGGGCTGTCCTGAGCAAGGGCCCCGCAATGCCCGAGGGCCCCTTTTCCTGAAGGGACCCCTTCCACAGGAGCCACATCTACTGGTGTGTGGGCCTGCGTGCATCTGTCAAAAATCAGGTGCCCGAGTGACACCGCAAGGGGAAGGAGGCTCCGTGAGTGTTCACACAGACAGACACAAGACTACAGAACTATACTCAAAAAGAAACCACGGGAGAGACGCGAAAATTACAGCGCTGGTTCTGATACTGTATTCCCTTTATTTTACCTTCAGTTTCTAAGTTTTCTACAAAAAACATCATATGTACAGTGATACCTCAGTCCACAAACTTAATTTCTTCCATGATTCTGGAAAAGAAGGCCAAGGTCGTGTGCATCACTGGGTGCAGAGTTCCAAACAAAAACAGAATTCTGCCAAACGCTTCTGTTTGTGAACCAAACTGTTTGCACACAAAAGCATTTGTGAGCCAAGGTACCACTGTGTGTGCATGTATGTGTATACATATATGTATCTATATAAGAACGAACAAAATAATTGAAATGAACATTTCTTTTCCTACCTTCTAGAATATGTATATGTACATAAAGGAAAAAATGAAATAATTAAAATGAACATTTTTTTCTCCTACTTTCTAAAATCACACCAAAAACAACATAATGGTGGTGAGAGACTTGTACAATGAAAACTATAAAGCACTGGTCAAAGAAATTAAAGAAAGCATAAGTGATGGTTTTATCTTTTTTTTTGGTACCCGGAATTGAACTCAAGACCTTGCACTTGCCAGGCAGGCGCTTGTGCCACTGAGCTATATCCCTGACCCTAGAAAGCATAAGTGGATGGAAAGGCATCCCATGATCATGGATTGGAAGATGCTAATACTTACCAAAGCAATCTACAGTGCAATCACTATCAAAACTCTAATGATGTTTTTTAGGGAAACAGAAAAATTCTAAAATTCGTATGGAATCTTTGGGGACCTTGAATTGTCAGAAAAGACCTTGAAAAAAGAAGAACAAAGCGGGGAGGCAAACACTTTCTGATTTGAAAACTTACTACAAAGCTACAGTAATGAAAAGTGCGCTACCAACATCAAGAGAGATACAGAGCTCAACGGGACAGAGTTGAGAGCCCAGAAGTGAACTTTTATGCTTAGGCTCAAAGGGTTTTTTGATGGGGGTGCCAAGAAATTCAATGGGGGGAGAAAAGTCTCCCTAACAACAGGTGCTGGGAAGAAGACACCCACCACAGGCAAGGCACGAAGGCAGACCCTTAGCCGAAGTCATACATGGGCACAAAGTCAAAACGGATCAAAGGTCTAAACATAAGACCTAGAGTTGTAAAACTGTTAGAAGAAAACAGGGTAAAAGCTTCACCACACTGGGTTTGCCAATGATTTCTTGAATATGACACCAAGCTGCAAGCACCGATGAAAAAATAGGTCAACTGGACTTGGTGAAAACTTTAAGACTGTGCATCAAAAGACACAGTTGACAAAAAAAAAAAAAAAAGGCACAATAGACGTAAAAAGGCACCAACAGGATGGAAATAAATATTTGCAAATCATATATTTAATAAGTCACTACAACCCAGAATATATAGGGAATTCCAAACAACAAAAATCTACAGAACCCAACTGAAATATGGGCAAAAGATGAACAGTTTTCTCCACAGAAGATACAGGTGACCAGTAAGTACTCAGGACACGAAACATCACTAATCACCGGGGGTACGCAAACCCAAACCACAACGAGATGCCACCTCACGCCCATGAGGACGGCTACTATGACAAAAAAAAAGGAAAACAGCAGAGTTGTTGAGGATATACAGACACTAGCACTCTACTGCACTGTGAGTGGGAATGTGAAATGGTGGAAAAAAGTACGGCAGTTGCTCAGAAAATTAAAAATAGATTCACCACATGGTCCAGCCATTCTGCTTCGAGGTACAGACCCCAAAGAACTGAAAGCAGGGTCACAGTGCTCTCTGAAGAGTCATGTTCCCAGCAGCAGCACTCACAACAGCTCAAAGCTGGAAGCAGGCTGGGCGTGGTGGCGCACGCCTGTAATCCCAGCACTGGGGAGGCTGAGGCAGGAGGATCGTTGTGAGTTCGAGGCCAGCCTGGGCTACAAAGTGAGCTCAAGGCCAGCCTGAACTGCA